GGGGGGGGGGGGGGGGACGACGACGATGACACCAAAACACTGAAATAAGTGCAGAGAAAAGGGGACCCGGTAGCGGAATTTTTGAGTAGTTAGGAGAACCGGTAAATACCACCTCTGACGGGCCCCACTCGCATCTATTCTCTGCCTCCCGAGTCCCAGCTGATCGGGAGGGAATGGAGATTTTACAGTATCCTTCCCCTGCCACGCCCACCAAGCCACGCCCACAGAACTGGTAGTAAATTTTTTTGAATAACATCACTACTACTCCCCAAAGCTCCTGAAGACAGGACAAGAAGCAAGGAAAGATCCAACTTAGAAGTGAAGAGAAATTTCCTAACAGTTTGAACAATTAATCAGTGGAAGGACTTGCATCCAGAAGTTATGGGTACTCCAATACTGGAGGCTTTTAAGAAGAGATTAGACATTTGTCTGAAATGGTGTAGGGTTTCTTGCTTGAGCAGGGGGTTGGCCTAGATTAGGCCTGTTATTGTGTTATTCTCTTGAGATTCTAAATTAACTTTTCCTGCTTTGAATGTGAAATGATAATTTCAAATATTGAAGCAAAATATTAAACCAAAAAATGAGGCTAGGGCAAATGGTCCCACAGTTATGTCTCTCCACCCTGTAAAAATGTCTGTCTCTCAATTCTCTCAGCCAGCCACTTGAGGTCGAGCAGCTCATTAAGAGCCAGAATTACACTGCACTGAGCACACTGCCTTGACAACCGTCCAGTCTTGGCTTCTTCATCCACTTCTAAACTTGTACAGATGTTTACTGACCTCTTTAAGCTCTCCCCAAAGACTTTACCATTGCAATAAAATGCTTCATAAGATGAAACTGCCTTGTACTCAAGGATACAGATTTCCTCCCAAGCTTGCCTACTTTTACATTTCTGGTTAATTCACCCCAATCAATTGAACTACGAGGGTGGGGAAGGCTCCCATTTTAAAATAAAAATAAACAAATATGTATCTCTATGTGCTTCCAAGTAAATACAATTTTATATAATAGAGATTTAAACCCATTATATTTGTAGGAAATAAATGATTGTCCTAAAGGTGCTTTTTCAAGAGGCAACTGGACTTTCTGGTTTTTCTTTGAAGATGTTTCACTTCTCATCCAAGAAGCTTCTTCAGCTCTGAAGAAAGAAAATATTCTTCTTCATTTGAAATAAAGCTGTTGCAAAAATCACCAGCATGAGATTCACCTGACCTCTAAGTAATTTTGAAGATAATCAGACATGTAAGATTTATGAGTCAACAAGGTTCAACAAGACCCAATCTCAGGCCAGTGATTTTTGCAATAGCTTTATTACAAATGAAGAAGAATATTTTCTTTCTTCAGAGGTGAGGAAGCTTATTAGATGAGAAGTGAAATGTCTTCAAAGAAAAACCAGAAAGTCCAGTTCTCTCTTGAAAATGCACTTTTGGGACAACCATGACCTGGATGACTGAGAATATCCATAGAAATAAATGATTATTTTTATTCAAGAGTGTGGACAAATGAACAGTAATTAAGAAGAGGACATGAACCATTTGACCTATCTGGCAAGGAAACTTCATCTCACTTTTATATTTCAAAAGGGAATTAATTTAAAATTTGAGCATTTAAATTACTTTGAATTTCAAACCTCAAACAATCATAATGTGGACTGACCAACTAAACGAAATAGTTTGAAAAAGGGAGCTGGGTAAACAGAACTTCAAATATAGATCAAAAGGAGCTAATATTAGGTTTGTTTTTGTTTTTATTACAAACTTTATTCAATAACAGGAAACAATTATGCAAGTAAATTCTCATATTCTCTGCTCATGGGAACAGCAGAAAAGAGAGTCCAGGCAAAACAAACTTTGTCGACTAAGCTGAATGTTGTTCAAAGATTAGATGCTGCTGGCAACTTTATAAGAATAGAAAAATACTGTTGAAAATTAATATCCTCAAATATTCAACTACTCTAAGTACCAAGAAGACTAAATATTCATAAAACTTCCTACTTACATTCTTCTAGAACAAGGCCCGGATCCGGACCACAGGGTATTTAGATCTGGCCTGCAGGCCCCCCCTGAACACAGCGAAGGATCAGCCTGCAGTGCTTCTGCCAGTGAAAATGGTCTCCAAAGTGCCATTTTCACTGGCAAAGGGTTGCAGGAGGCAGTGGCAGCCGAAAACGAGCTCGGGAGCCCGTTTTCACTGGCCAAGCACTTGGGCCACCATAGGCGCCCCGATAGGAGTGACATCAAGCTGGCTACGCCCACCTTGTCCACGCCCCCACAAGGTCAAACACAACCCTGATGTGCCCCTCAATAAAATCAAGTTTGACACTCCTGTTCTAAAAAAACTAGCTGTATGAAAATATTTTACCCTCAGAAGAATGGTAGCAAGTAAATACCACCTCTGGCTGGGTTTTCATAGGGAATGACTCTAAAAGTAATATTCTCATAAATGTAGGTAACCAAATCTGCTAAGTTTAGTTAGTAGTAAAATTTATATTTTGTTTTACTTTAACCTAGAATATTTTTTTTATTCTTTTCTCCTGGATATTTTAATAATGTACTGAATTGGAATGTGGACTGAATTTAAACTTTTTGCACAGGCTAAAAGATTGAAAAAGAAAAATAGCCTTTCTTCCTCTAGAATGCTTGAATTCTTGGATATTCAGTCTAAGATTTAATAGTTGTAAATCACACCTCATTCCTATTTGGTCATATAAAACAAAGATGATTTTATTATTTCTTATTTAAAACAAAACATCATCAATATTGCATGATATGCTGACCTCAACGAAAGATACCCAATTTGCATTTACCATACTTCTATATCCCAAAGGCTAATGCATATGCTACTTTGAGTTATTTTTAAAAATATAAAGATGGGATATAAATAAGTAAGCAATTAAATAAGTCACAGAAACAGTAAGTTCTGGACACTGACTCTATGCAGCATAGACTTGCCCGGAAAGTCCCTCCAGCACAGCAGGTAATAGGATGCATGTGAATGGCCAGCACGAAAAACAGGGTGGCAATGGCAGTGGCTTTTTTGGCACATTTGAGACCTCCAGTAGTTTTTGGTGGCCTCCAACCAGCTGCTGCTGCCAGGAAGCAGCTAGCAAAGACGCAGTGGCTGGGAGACTTCTCGCAGTCGCACCAAAAAAGAGAACTTGGTATCCGGAGTCTGGACCAGCCGCCGCGGGAGGAAGGTAAGCCCAAAGAAAGATGCAGTCATGGGGGAGGAAGCGGGGGCTAGGGCAGGGCCTCTGAAGGATGGAAACAGGACTGGCGAAGGGAGAGCAGACAGCATGCAGGAGGAGGCCTTTGAGAGATTAGACCAGGCCTGAACAGAAAATAGGTAGGTAGGTAGAAATTCAAAAAATTTTCCTACCAAGTTCTGTGGGCATGGCCCGGTGGAATGGTCATGTGACTGAGTGGCCATGAGTGATGACGAGTTGGCCACGCCTACCCAGTCACATGACCTCCCACCAAGCCATATCCACAGAACCGGTAGCAAAAAATGTTGAATCCTATCACTGCATACCTCGTCGACAAATAATCAAAACCTATGAAATCAGCAGAGAAAAATAAAAGACAATGATTTATAAAATAAAATAGAATTAAATATAAGATCAGGACTGTAATATAAGTTATAATTAAACAGAAAAAATGAGCAAGGTAAAACCTATTAAAGAAAATGGAACTTTTCTGATCAAGTAAGAATATTAAAAATTGTGTATAGTTTACTCAGATTCTAGAAGCAAAATTTCTTTAACTGATTTAACTTATTCTTAATTTATTAACACATTCTTATCATGACATGCAGGATATGGATCTCCAAAATTTTAAAAATGCCAAAATTCATAAGTCAATGGTACAACTGGTTGTTTTGAATAACTAGGTTTTAGCACAAAGTAAGTTATTCTGAAATCAGAAAGGTGCACATTTTTTGGTTTCTAACAGCCTCCAAAATCTGTAACTCCAATTTTACACCCAAGTACCATGCTAGAACCATTGTTTGTGCTATGCCTTTCTGATGGGACAGAAATAATGCCATTACTCACCATGATTTATCATTTATAAACTACAGTGGCAGAAAAATGGAACAACCGAACAGAATCTGGTTGAATGTAACATAATGTACAAAGCATCTCACCTTACGAGGAGCTGGTCCATGATCATCTAAGTAAGTGGAATTTCCTAGAAATAAAGAAAAAAGAAACAGACCATTAAAGACCTTAATATAAAAAAAATGAAAAAAGAAAACTGCAAATATTTATGTATTTATTTATATCTATCAAATTTCTATATTACCCATTATACTTGCGCTATATTAAATATAAACAATTACTATACTTGATATTTTATATGAATACAATGTCTATTTTTTTAAAAAGTATTCATTATGAAAGTATTAGAAGGAAGTCTAACTTGCTTTCAAGAATTAAAGTAACCAGGTACTTTAGAAAGCAGTTTTGGCTGTTTCAGAGGCTTTTCATGGTTTTCTGTGCAGGCATGGACAATCATCAAGATCATTCCTACAAGAACTATTTGCACTGGAACACACAAAAGTGCAGACAGATGTGGGAAACCATTGTGACTTTAATACTTGAAGGAGAGACTCTTTGCTCAATACTAATGAAACACTCTTTTGAATTGTTTTCATGGGCCTAAGATTAGTAATTTGTAATCAAATCTTTAGTTTCCTTAGAAGTCAACTGGTGGTTAGAAAATGCTTTCTTTTTCATGCAAGTTCCTAGGAGAGAGCGGGCATATTTCAACTTTAAAATGTTCTGAGCTCGTGTTTTGTTTTGAGATCAGGATGGGTCATTCCAATTTCACCTGAAGCATCCTGACCTCCACTGATTTTCAAACCAGTGGTGGAATTCACTTACCTTCACTAATGGGTCGCAAATGTGACCTCGCATGCGCAGAAGGTCACGCATTATATCGGGGCAGGTGGGCGGAACATCCAGTCGCCGCCTGAACTGGTAAGAACCGGCTGAATACCACCTCTGATTCAAACATTGTTGGAACTTTTTTTGTATTCTTGGTGTGGTCAGAATAGTCAATTTTGTACTAAAGAAAAACGTCTAGGAAAAATTCAGAACAGCTGCCCTGCCTTCTACTTTGCTTTTACATAGCTCCAGTGAATATTTTATTTCAAGCATTACTGTAGAAAAGATTTTGATAGTTAAAATTGTGCTCTATACTGCGATGTCATTTTAAAAACTTTTCAATTGATTAAATCGTTGTTATTTAATGCATTCTACATGGTTTTTACATTTCCATTTTTTCATAGACCATTACTTTTTTCAAAGTAATGATTTGAAAGTAATAGCACTTTATTCTGTTCTATATTTCACAGTGAGTTCTATTGTGATTAATATTTTTAGAATTTCAATTATTTAGGCAAGTGAGTAACGTTTCTCAGAGAGAGGAAAAATTCAAGCCCTTGGAGCCCAATATTCCAAAACTGCAGGTAGGCTAATTGTATTGAACTTAATTTAAAGAGTGTGTTTAATTTGTATATAACATAAAATTATATATACATTAAGGTTTGAAAATAATATAAACTGTTGTATAATTTAGTTGCTGTTTATAATATAGTAGTTAAAGCTATTATAAATTCTATTTCTGCAAATATATAAATCAAACCAAGCTGGAATGATCACAATATTTTAAATAGGGTCATTTTTTATCATCATAATTCAAATAACATTCTCAATCTCTCTCTCTCTCTCACACACACACACACACACAAACACACACATTCACTATCCAGCACAACAGCCTTAGAAAGCAATCATAGTGGAATACATCACAATTAAGAAATAATGAGAAGTGTTTTGAATAGAAAATGTAAAAATAAAGTGAGAAAGTCTTCCATGTATAGCACTTGAGGTCTGAAAGAAAAAGTGATATTAATGTGATTATAAATGAAATAATCTACTGCAATGAATGTATTCAAACTGCTTCTGATGATAAGGATTTCTTAATTGTGATGTATTCCATTATACTGTTCATGCTATAATAAAATTGTGGAGTCCTTGGTAGAACAGAACATCTCTACAAGGAATTCCAACAAAATAGATACCCATGCAACTCTATGAAAAATACCTGGACACTCAATTCACTATAGTGGATTGTAACACAAGCTATGAAAATGATAATATTACTATACATCAAAACATCCCAGGGACAACCAACAGACTATTACAACCACATGGCATCACTATAGCACACAAACCAAATTAAATCTCTTCAAAACAAGTAAAATAAAGACCCAATAGCTCAAGAAGCAAAAAACCAAAAACAAAACAGGACTCCTCTATAACATATAGTGTAAGGGTTATAACACTCCCTATGTAGGACAGACAAACAAACTAGCAGAGGGCATCCATGAACACCAAGTAGCAGTCAGAAGACAGATGAAAACTACTTAATCTCATAACATATGGAGAGACTGGATTACTCTTTTAACTGAAAAATTGAGCGTCCTAAACCAAGCCAAATCCAAAAATGCTAGGAAGCTTGGCAATCAGACAAATCAGCCATCAATAATCACATAGAAATAAACCACATTTATTCCAGTTAATAGAGGCAGTAAAAAGTTAAGGAAACAAAAAAGGCCAGAAAACATCATCTCCAGTAATCAACACCTAGATAAACAGGGATTAACATCAAACAATCAAGTAAAAAATAACAGTCCAATCATAGAATTTCCAAGATGAAACTGCACCCCACCAACACAGGCGGGACATAAACTGGGATATAAATAGAGAGCAAACACCACACTTGCTATCACTGATATCGTTACCTACCATAGTTGTAATGAAGGGTAATGAAATATATGTAAGCAAATAACCAAGCTCAGAGAACACCAAGGACACCAGTTCAACCCTGAACGACATATATTCTCTTCTATTGGTATAATGAAATTTTCTATTATATAATCTAAACCTTATGCAATGTTTAGACATCACAGAAAACTACCTAGGATCACTAATATTATATCTTAACCCCATGGTCCATGCCATCAAAGAACAATGGATAATATAATTTAGCCAAAGAACAGCCTTGTAGAGCTTTTCTTATTCTTTAGAGCAAGGGTATCAAACTCAATTTCATTGAGGGCTACATCAGGGTTGTGTTTGACCTCAGGGGGCCTGGAAGCATGGGCAGGGTGGGCATGGTCAGCTCAATGTCACTCTGGCAGGGGCACCTGTGGCGGGGCTGGGGTATCTATTGTCTCCAGCGCAGGAAGGTGAGACCAGGGAGACGGCCAAAGCCTTGTCCTCCAGAGGAGTCTTGCCAGGGGTGGGTTTCTCGCCCCGTTCCAACCGGTTCGGTTGGAACGAGGCCGGCGGCGTCCTCGCGCACGCGTGCGGTGCACGCGTGCACGCGCGTGGCGCACGCATGCGTACTAGCGTCTGTGCGATGCTCCAGCTGCTCCTGGAGGATCNTTAGTAAAAGTACACTTGATTTCAAACAAATGGAGTTGAGTGGTTTCTTTCCTGATTATTAAATGAAGTCGCACCTGACATGCAGTTTGTGGAATTTCTTCAACCCAGAGGTTCAAACATATCAGTTCACATCAATATCAATAGAAAAGTCTTCACCTGGTGTTGAAATGATGCTCGGTGCCAGTTGGGAAGGAAATTACATTAATGAAATGCCACCTCAGAAAAAAAAAATCCACCCCTTAAAGATGCCCACTTCAGTTTTGATGAAAGGACCTGGAGAAAGGCTTTATTAGATTATTTTAAAATCTAGGTAAGGCTCATGAGAAAATGCTCCTTCAGGTAACCTTGCCCTAAGCTGCTTAGGCATTTAAAGGTAAAAATCTGAACTTTGAACTGGAAATGGATGGCAGTCAGTATAGTGGCAAAGAACTGGCATAATACCATGGCATAATGGCATAATATATTCATAATGGTCAGTCCCATTAAGCAAACTGGCTGCTATTTTTTGAACTAACTAAAAGTTTCCAACTCTTATTCAAATGGGCCCCACTCACAACACATTACAATAATCTAACTGAGATAATATCAGAGAGTAACTGTTGTAAAGCTGTTTGTCTCTATCCAAGTAAGATCATAGTAGATAAATTAGCAATGCCTTGATAAAAGGCATTATTTGCCAATGAAGCCACCTAGGCTTCTACTAACAGTGGTGATCCAGGAACACCTTCAAAGTGTAAATCTACTCCTTAGAGAAAGTCATGACCCCTACAGGACAGGTAGAGCATCACTCAGCTGCCCAGATGCATCACTCTTGAAAAGTATCCCAATCTTGTCCGGACTGTTTAGACTTATTTCCCGTACAGGAAGGGGAGAATCTTTATTTTCTTATTGCACCATCTCACCCGGTTGAAATGCTTTTGCACATTTTAATTTAAGGAATTCTCAAGTTTTAAAAATAAACCATATGAACTTTCAAGAAATGAACTGTGAAGTTTAAATGCTGCTCCATTAATAATATATACTTTATAGTAGTATATATAAATTGCTAAATATACTATATATTACATCCAAGCCGGAACAGGACCAAAGGTGCTTTTTTTCAAACTGGATATTCTTAGGGTTTCTTTTTCCTTTGAAAATGTTTCACTTCTCATTCCAAAAACTTCTTAAATTCTGAACTGAAAAAGCACTTTTGGGACAACTATGACATGGATAGTTGAGAATTTCCATAGAGAAGCAGGAATAAGAACATAGAGTTTGTACTTAGGTCCATGTGCTCCAGTGGTGGGTTTCAAATTTTTTTAGAACCTCTTCCCTAGGTGTAGCCTGCTTTGTGACAGTGGCTTGCTAGCCATGTGACTGAATGGGAGTGGCTTGGAAGTCATGTCACTGGGTGGGCATGGCCAACTTGTAAAATGTGGTGAAACTCACTTAACAACGCTCTTGCTTAGCAACCAAAATGTTGGCTCAGAAACTCTGGCATTTGAAGCACGCCGAGCAACATGACCCTAAAGTGTGACAAACTCATAGCTGC